GTATATCTTCGACTTGATGATTTCCATTCCTTTGGATATATTCCCAGCAGTGGGATAGCTGGGTCGTATGGTAGATCTATCTTCAGCTGTTTGAGGAACCTCCAAACCATTTTCCATAGGGGTTGCACCATTGTGCATTCCCACCAACAATGTAAGAGAGTTCCTTTTTCTCCGCAGCCACGCCAGCATTTATCTTTCGGTGTCTTTTGGATTTTGGCCATCCTAACTGGGGTGAGATGGTATCTCAGTGTGGTTTTGATTTGCATTTCCCGGATGCTGAGTGATGTTGAGCATTTTTTCATATGACTGTTGGCCATTTGTACATCTTCTTTAGAGAAATGCCTGCTTAGCTCTTTTGCCCATTTTTTGATTGTACTTCATTAATTTTTTATTTTCCCCATACATTCCAGAGAACTAAGCAAATACAACTAAATATCAGTTGTATTTTTGTACAACGAACACTGACCAACTTTTTATTTTATCTTTTTACATTCGGAGGGGGGAATCATTGTACTGGTAGATTCTTTCAAACTTTCAAACAAAAAAACAGCTTATTCCAATGCTATAATATGTTCTAGATATAAAATAATATAGTGTTCCAATTTCTTTCACAAAACAGCAAATCTCTCCTTCTACACCCAAAACAAAGAACAATAAAACATTTAACTAATGACATTCCTAAGCCTCAATGCTCAGCTTGAATACTTAATCAAATGCCTACAGAACCACGGATTTTGAAAGAATGGTTGGGTATGGCTTTTGTTTCAACTTTGATATAATTCTGTTATCACTTAGTTTTAACCAGCTTACGCCTATAAAATATTTATCACTAGAAAAAAAGGTGATCAAAGCAAACCAAACTTTGTAATACCGGATTTTGAAAGAATGGTTGGGTATGGCTTTTGTTTCAACTTTGATATAATTCTGTTATCAGTTAGTTTTAACCAGCTTACGCCTATAAAATATTTATCACTAGAAAAAAAGGTGATCAAAGCAAACCAAACTTTGTAATATACAAGTTGAAAGCTAAATCACCAAGAAACACAAACAGAAATGGAACACAAATACCATGAGCAGGATGTTCTTTCTAACCCCACCCTACCCCTCCCCTCTACTGTTCGTAAGTCAGAGCCCCAGCTTCCAATGCTACATGTTGCCTTTGACCACTCACAACAAAACAATGTGAAGACCCAGCCTCAGCCTTCCCTGGTGGCAGGAAGAGCCCCTGACATTAGCCTGAGATTGTAACCAGCACTGGCACTGTCATACTGATCGTTCCTCCAGCCATGGCTCTCGCCCTGGCACTGGCACTTGAACTGGTACTGGTGCAAATGCTTGCTTCAGCCATGGCATAGGCCCTGCCCTGCAACTGGAACTGGCACTAACTCTGGCACTTGTCACATCTCCGACGGCAGCTGCATCTCGGGCACAGGGTATTTCCTCCTCTTCTTTCAATGCCTCATTTACTGCCACAAAAAGGATCTGGAATGGGTGTCATTCGCTTTAGCCACAAACTCCGGGACTTCCATCTGTCTTGATTCCTCTGAGCGCTCCACAAGAACACCTTGAGCATGGGATTGCCGTTGGACACCTACTTGTGCACCAGATACTTCTGTTGCACATAAGCTTTGGTGACGAGCTTCATGGGCTCCCCAAGGATGAAATGCTTTTAAGTCGAATATACCTCCAACACCCTCAACACCTCCCAGACCACCTCCTCAGAGGCACAGCTTGCCTGCATGAAGATCAAGTCCCGGGCAATCAACAGGAGCCCAGTCTCTGGTGTGCCCTGGTCGTCTGTCAGGCCCCAAATCGGGGCCGAATGGGATTTTCTGATCAGGACACAGGAGTGCTCTGTTGGATCAAGTTCCTTCAACCAGAACCCAAAGACTAACTCGGGAAGGTCGGAGCCTTTCTTGAAAATCTCAGGGAGGAAGCTCCTGCACCTTTTGATGACATACTTCAGCATGTCTGCCCTTTTGATCGGCACCATCTTCCAATTCTTACCCAGCAGGTATTGCACCAGCTCCGCTACTTTCTAGCTCACAGGGTCTCTGGGCATGCGCATCAGGGATGTTGGGGCCCAGGAGGTACTCAGGCCCCCCTAGGGGTTGCTGGGGTCCACAAAGGAAGTTTCAGAAGCACCTGAGCAGGGGCTCCATGCCTCAGATTAAGTGCTCCCAGGGCTCTGGCGAGCACTTGGTGTTCCCGTTGCAGGCGCCCCCTTGGGGCTATCTTGGGCAAGAGGAGAGAAGGAGGAGGCCACGGGGCCTCTGAGACCCGCAGGCCCTGGGTGTCACCTCTATCGCGGACGTTCTCACCTGCGGCTTTGGCTGGCCCAGGAAGCAGGAAGTCTGGGAAGATATAAGCGTCCACGGGCATTTGGCGGCCAGGGTGTTGTGTGCCAGGCGTGAGGACAGTGACGTCGCCGCGGATGCTGCGGCCGCTGCTGGAAGATCCGGAGCCCCAAGGTCTGTTGAGTGGGAGGCAGCGGCCCTCAGACCCGGAGGAGTAGGAAACGGGATGGGAGGGGGCTAAGCCGCCGCCGCCACCCGGGTCTTCCCCCAGCTGTGGGAACGGGCGGGCGCCGTCCCCTGTGCCTCTTCTGGTCGGGGCCGGCACCTCGGGTGGCGCTTGAGCGATGCGGGGCGCTGCTCCCAGAGGTGGGGCCACTAGTGTGAGGATAGAAAGAGACCATAAGCCTAAAGGCCAGACCCAGAGTAAACGCTCAACAGCTGTTGCCTGTTAGTGCGAAGAAGCAGACCATTCGGGATTATCTTTGTCTCCCTTTTTCGCTTGTGGAGGAGGCTCCCTAGGAGAGGCCTCTGTTCCTAACTCTAGGCATTTATCCAGCAGCAGCCACCGCCTCTTCCTCTTCAGATAATTTACCTGAAGTTGCCCTGCTCAGTGCCTGGCCCGGAGTAAGCACCTTAGCGAATGTTCCCTTGGGTTCGTTTCGTTATTATATGATACATTGTATCTGCAGTGCTTGTACCTTGTGGTCATCTAGAGGAGGAGGAAGGACCTCCATGGAGAACTGGGGATGTATTTGCTTTTCTTGATGATCAGCAGATCTGGAGAGCAGAACATCAGTTCTCTTGTGTATCATTCCTCTCCTAGACAGTCCAGAAGGTTATTGTTAATTATAATCTAACTTTCCAAATCACCACTCTTAATTAAGAGAAGTAACATTTTCTTGTTACTTCTCTTACTCCCAAGTTACTGGGCCTCATTCTTCCTCTACAAAGTGCTTTCTCCCATTTCGCCTCTCATCTGAGATTCGGGGGCCTTCGATAAATGCCTGCTTTGAGGACAGCCCCTAGGAAGCCCGCAAATAACAAGATTTCTCCACCCCAGCAAGTACATCCTGTTATGGTATGTCATGTGGTAAAATTGAGCACTCCATTTTTTTCAACCTAACTTTTCTAGGCAGTCCAGTGGCGCCTCCTCGCACATAACAAAACTGTGTGCTTTTCTATAGCGATTTTTATATCTCACTGCATTTACTAAATTTCTATATAATTTCTATGCTTCTGCTTCAGCTCTTCCATGGATCTAAGTTCTATTGCTGCCAATTCTACTGTATACATTTAGAAATTGTTTTTATTATCTGGGTAGAACAAGTTCCCCGTCATTATTCTTCTTTTTCAAAAACTCTTCAAATATTTTGAAAAATGCTGTCCTCTATAAGAGCTTCAGGATCAAATTTTTCAAGTTAAAAAAAAAATCTCTGGCTTGAATTTTAACTAGAATTGCTTAGGATATATAGTTCACTATGCGAAGAAGTAACATCTTTACCATACGGAGGCTTCTCATCCAAAAAATGTAGTATGTTTTCCCATTGATTTCGGGTTTTAATCAGATTACTTCAGTTACCTTCTACAGTTTGCCTTATTTAGCATTTGCGTATTTCTTAAGTTTGTCCAAGGCCGTTTTGTTTTAGTTTCCTTGCTGCTACGAGTCGGATATTTTCCCATTCTATCTTCTAATTACTTATTCATGACATGTAGAAAGCCTGGTGGTTTCGTATATTTTAGCTAGTATATGGTGGCCATCTTAAGAACAACTCTCCTTAAGTATAATATTTTCCCAGTGGATTCTCTTGTGTTTCCTAGGTAGACAATCACGTTGTCTGCATATTATAATTATAGTACTCATTTCCCTTTCTCTTATCCCATTGGCTAGGACCATAGCACCATGTTAGCTAATAGCAGTGATGCAAAACTTCTTTTTCTGTTCCTGCTTTTAACGGGAAGGACTTTGTTGATTTGGGGCTAAATATGTTGTTGGTTTCTGATACCAATTGCGCCAGTTATCCACTTATTGTCTGTCAGGCCCAAATCAATCCTTCTTTGCCCTGCTTTCTGATACTAGAGCTGATTTTTGTTAACATTTCTCCTATGCCGGTGAACAGAATATTAGGCTTTGTCAATGGAGAGCACTGGAGTGACCCTACTAATCCCAGCAGGAAAGTACTTCTTTTCTAGTTGCAGTCTCCCATTTTATGTTATTCACTGCAGGAGGTCAGAGGCCAGCACAGACAAGCTCCAGCTGCATGCATCCTCAGGCCATGCTCTCTCTACCATCTGCTGCCTCTGAGCAGCTCCAGCCTTCCCGTGCACCACCACCATCCTGCAATGGTAGTCTCTTCTGCAGACCAGCGAAGGCCCGCACTCTCTGGCAAGTTTCTACACCACTGGCAGGCTGCATATTCTTTCGATAGCCACGCCCTCTTCAAAGAGGTCTGATTCTCAGCTTGGGAGGGAGGGTGGCCTCTCCTACTCCTTTATTGTCTGCTCTTCTTTATCCTAGAGGTGGTAGCTGCTCTTTTGCATCTGCTACTTCTGGACCCCTTGAAATCCTCTTTTACTCCTTTTGGTAGTTAACCACCTCCTTCTACTACTTAGCCATCCTTTGTCTCCAATGTTCTCTGTCCAAATAACCAGCATGGTTTCTGTTCCCTGATTGGGCCCTGACTCACATACCAATTATCAACCTAGAGATATTTCCCTCTAAGCCAAACTTTCTAGGTGTTTTTTGTTTGTTTGTTTGATTGATTGATTAATTGTTTCAATTTGAAAATGCATTTTAAATTTTATTGAATGGCTTTTCATCATCCATCAAATTATTCACATGGCTTTTTTCCCATAACGTTCTAATTGTAAAGCAGCCTAAGAAAAATGCAGAAAACATGAACAAAGAGACATGCATTAGAAATCATTGCAAGTTGAGAGAATAATACAAATTTCTTTAAAACTGTCCTTGATGAATCTTTGGCTTCAGACTCTCATTAAGATACCACGAATACTATAGAATCCTCTCTACACTGCCCACTATACCCAGGCCACTGGCCATGTGGAGGGTTTAGCCTGTGAGTCGGAGGAGAACTCTGTTCCCTGGAAGACTCCTGACCTTCCAGTGTAGAATTTGTTCACAATCGTTCTCTTTTCTCCCCATGACAAAATCACCGAACCCCCTACTCTGTCCACAGCCAGATCAGAGAGGGCCTCTGAAGACCAAGAAAAGGGGAAAAATCCAAGGCCAAAGGGCTTTACATTTCAGAAGAGGAACCACCAGACGATGACCCAACCTGAGAGCAGCCTGCTTGCTGGGTACACTCAGGGGGAGTGATGCAGTCAAGCTGCCATTCATGCCCTCTGCTTATCTGTGCAGCAGCACAGGCCTATGCACTCCCTCCCTCTACCAGCCACACACAGCCCATGCTAGCCTGCTCTAAAAGGTAGAGAAAAAATGGAAAATGGGCAAAAAGTAGAGACACACTCTCCAGAGTCAGAAATTCAAAGGGCCAATAAACATTTTTTTAAATGCTCAACCCCACAAGGATCAGGGAAATGCTCATTAAAATGGCAGAGATACAGATTTCACCCCAAATATTGGCAAAACAAGTAGATTAATATCAAATATGGTAAAATACTATTGTTAAGACTGTAAATTGATAGGCAATATCTATTCAAATTTTAAACGTGCATGCACTTGACAACAAAAATTTACTTATAGATATTCATCCTAGGTATAGTTACCAGAGAAAATACAAGACACCTAGCTAAAATGGAGTTTCAGATCAACAGCAAATGCTTTTTTAGTGTTCGTGTGTCCCGTGCAATATGTAAGACATTCTTATACTAAAACAATTACCAAATGTTAAACAATCACTCATTGTTTATGTGAAATTCAAATTTAACTGGGTGTTCTGTACTTTTATTTCCTAACTCTGGCAATCAGAATCTTAGAGAACCACCCAATCCTGTGCCCAAGAAGGTATGCAGAAGAGTGTAGTTTTTGCTGTCTTGTTTATTATAATAAGGAAGAAAATGGAAAATAATAAAAATATTCATCAATAGAAGAACGGTGTAAAAAACTACACCCTGACTTAAATACCATGCATAAGTTAAAAGATCAAGGCAGATTTATGTGTAGTGACATGAATAAAAAATCTGTTCTTGAATTAGAAAATGTTGTGGAACAATATTTAGAATTTGATATCATTTAGTAAGACAAAGCAAAACTAAATTATACATTTCTGTAGGTAAAAATACATCAGTGTAAATGCGTAGAACTAGGTCTAAAAAGATACTCATCAACCTTTTAAGAGTGGTCACCTTTGGAGTGGAGCTTTTAATTTTGGGGGTTTGGAATGTGTGCTTTTTATTGAATGTCCATCGTTTCAACATTGACTTTAAGTGCCAAACAATTTTGAACTTACCGAATTGCGTGTATGCATGGATCTAACTCTGGTTCTTTTCTGTTGATCTATTTATCTTGTCTTGAGTCAATGCAACACTGTTCTAATTAGTATATCTTTACCATATGCATAATTTATATTATGGCAAGTTCTCCTCTGAGTTCTTATTTTTCAAAATTTCATAAGAGTAACTGTACATTCACTGCTCTTCAGTCCGTGAGAAAATTTTCAATTGGCAAGTTCAGTTTCACCTTGGCCAGGGGATGAGGATTCCCCATATGGCTCCATCC